CTTCTCTGCACTCTCCGGATCTGCCACAAATCACATGGTGAACGTGTGTTTTTTCATGCTGCGCCCACGCTCTGGGACTCACTGCCGGTTGCAGTTAGGCAGGCATCCTCTTTGCCTGTTTCCTCATTGTAAAGACCCACTTTTATGTCTTGGCTTTCAGGCAGTGACTCATTTAATAATTTTATTGTTTTTAATGTTGTGTTTTATCTACTGTTCCTATTGCTTTTATCTGCTGTTTGGTGCCTTGTATTAATGGTTATGCTTTTGTTTTTTTCCGATTAATTTGATCCTGCATGTTCTGAGCTTTGGTCAGCTCTCACTCTGTATTTTTAACTGTGCTATAGAAATAAAGTTGGTATGGTACTCTAACACTGGGTGAGCAGGCTAGAGGCTAACGTTGGGATAACCTTACTGACGGTGAATTAGAAGGTAATAATCAACTCTAAAAAGAGGCAGCAGTAGCTACGGCGGTAGAGAAGGTTGTTCAATAGTCGGAAGGTTGCACGTTCAATCCCGACTCTGACCAGAGAATGCTGCTCTTGTGTCTGGTGGTGGCCGGAGGGACCGGTGGTGCCAGTGCTCGGCATCCTGGTGCGCACTGACAGAGGCGAGGCTGCCGAGCACTGGCGCCACCGGTCCCTCCGACCACCACCAGCAAGCAAGGTGGGTTAACCATCTTGCCCAAGGACACAACGACAGCAACAAACTGAGCGGGGCTCGAACCTGCAACCTTCCGCTTATGTGACGAGTACGTAACTCCTTTGCCACCGCCACCCCAGTGACGCGTCTTGGGAGGTTGTAGAATACTAAGAAGGTGCTATACAGAAACAGGCCATTTACACTTAAAAAATATCTCAAGACGATCAGTCACTGGTGGCGTTTTACCTCCTTTAATGAGTCGTTAGGAGCAACAACAGCAAGACGGCAAACAGCCACACACTCTAATGCTGGAGACAAACTACCATAATGTAGAGAGGGTAATTTATATCTGTTTGGGTGCTTTTAAAGCCTAAGACACTACTCTACACTTTGACCAATGTGATGTGAATTTCCATATAAATATGGAAATCCAGTCTGAATGGTCTTTAATGTTTAATCAGAAGATTCTAGGATTATTTGTTTATTCAGGGATTGTAGAACACTTCGTACTGATTCTAGAAGAGAGTCAGGTTTATAAAAAGTAAGAATTTATTTTCCAAACAATTAAAAACATGACAAGTCAACTAATATTTACTGTGATAGATGGATCTAGGTGGATGAGATGTGATGTATGGTGAATATATGTGAATGTGAGGTTATCAGAACTTTCGTATCTAGAAGAACTGAGTTCTGGGTGTAAAAGGGAAAGAATTTAGTTTGCGTTAAGCTATGGAGTTGATTCTTTTCAAAGCCACATCAGACGCGATCATGCTGTGTCTACCTTCCCCTTTGGAAGACCCTCTTTAAGGATCCGAAGGTCAATCAATCAAAGCTTTATTTATAAAGCGCCTTCAGCAACCCTGTCAGGAAGCCCAAGGCGCTGAGTCAGGGAGGTTGGATGACCTCTGGCACCGAGGTTTGCAGAATAACCGCAGCACCGACTCTTCAGTCCAGAGATGTTTTCCGGGTCACAATAGTAGATGGATGGAACCTTTCGCGTACATACATATAAATTGTTCAATGTAATAATTCATTTCAAACTTTCAGTAATTCAAGCACAGATCGATCAACCTTATTGATTTAAGCACAGATGAATGAAGACATTATTATTATTATTATTATTATTTCACGAATGATTAACTCATATAAGCAGAAAACAGCCAATCTTATAACAGTTCAGTCCAGCCTAGATAAGTAGGCAGTCTTGGCACAGAAGGATCTTGAGAAGGGAACAGTTTGTTGACACTTTGTTATCGTGTGTTCCGAGCTGCAGAGAGGCTCGGACTCCAGCTGATGGAATAGCAGGATCCGGCAGATAAAGGCAACACATGTAGACTCCTGTCTCCATGTAGACCAGATACTGAAGGGGTCAAACTGTACAAGAAAACTGACCATTTCTGGACATTACAATAGTAAGTGAAGTAAGGGCTCCCTAGCGTAAAACACCCCCATGAGTGCCAACACTAGATTTGATCAACTTACTGTGTATGACTCATCTTTGGTTGTCATAAAAAAATCTTCTGGCACTGAAATGTAACCGACAACATCCATGAAACTCACAAAATGGTGGTGAGAAAGTAACTTTTTGTTTAGAAAAGTAGACTGCAGTAAACAAATTTGACCACAGGATGTCATTTTTACTTTATTTTTACATATTGCACCTTTAAGAACCTGTTCATTTACATAAAAATAACAGTAGATTTGACACCAAAGTTTTACTAAATTGCCACTTAAAGAACAATTAAGTGTTTTTTAAGTATACATTGCTATTCGATAACAAATCAACATTAACACCTGGGAATGTAGTTCTTGCTGAAACAGCTCTGCACTCAGATTTCTGCCTTTTTGAACCAAGTTGACTCCACTGTTTCCACCTGCACTTGGTCAGTAACCCTGGAGCCAAGAGCCTTCAGCAGGAAAAGAACTTTCCAAGCCCCCATTTGATTTATTCCGTTTTTGGCTAACCCTGCACTGAACCTGTCCCAAGAGATTTCCAACCATTTTAGCCCTCCTTTTCCAGCATACGTGCACAACATGACTCCTCGACCTAGTTCCATCCCAACATGTTGCTTCTCTCTCCACTTTCGCAACAGCCCACTGAGAGAATGAGAAACAGGCCCCCTGAAGGAAGCTCGGATTCACTCTCAGCAGTGCCTCCTCCTCCCCCGTCTCACTCCCTTCCAACAAAGTGTGGGTCACCTACTGATCACTATGTGCGGTCCTATCGGGAGCGCAAAGGAGGGCATTTATGGTTCGCTGGGATTCAAATGAATGTTTATGAGCCTTGTCTGGCAGCCAAAGGCCAGGCATAGTCCCAGCTTTTACAACCACTCTCCAAGTTGAGCTCAGTTACGGGCTGTCTATCTGCAAGATCGAATCTGTGGTCACTTTTCACTTTCATGTATTTCTCAAAGGTGTCAAAGCAAAGTACTTGTGTATTTTTAAAGGGTCTTTCCAACGAGACATCTTTGACCTGCGTGTAACCTCCAGTCAGGAATGCAGGTTAGATGATTAGCATTTGCAATGCTAAAATTCCATAATCAGTTTTGTTTTAAAAGATTCAGAAATTAACCCCAAGAAGCCCAGGCGAGTCTGATGAATGAGGACAGTATGGTGTTTCCTACTGACTAAGTTTCTACTAGACTTAGTCCCAGGGAAAACGAGTCTCAATACCTGTGGAAAACATTTTGTGTAAAATCCAATAATAATGAATGTTCAGATAAAAAATGGTCATGTCATTAAAACTGGACTCCTTGGAGGGAGGCGGGAACTCTTCAGGTGGCATGGCTGGGACTTTTGAAGATGGCTGGAGCTCAGTGAGGAGCTCTGGGTGCAGCAGCAGGTGCATGGTTTGGGTGATCAGCAGGGGTGTGGAGAGCAGTGTCCGACCACCCGGGAACACGTAGGATGCTTCGGAACGTATCATCTCAGCAGGGGCAGAAGGAGCAGATGCCAGTAGCAACTGTAACCTTATTGGGATGTAATTTAAATCTTACTGTCTTGTGTCTCTTGGGCCCTTTCATACCCTAGACTTCAGTTTCTAGTTCATTTATTTATGATCATGCATTGATGATACAGTAAAAGTCTGGCTTGTCAGCTAAAACGTTTGACTAACAGCATGTTAAAAGAGTGGAAGGAAAATAATGACAGCACACCAAATGCAACATGAACCTCAGAGTCTTCCTCTCCAGCAGTTAGCCCAAAGGCCCATCCTGAAAAAACTCTCTGCTGCTTTTCAAACGATCTCACCATGAGCTGGAGGAAAGTGGTCAATGCTATTTTCACAGCCTCAAAAGAAAAATGGTTTCCCATTAGAAAGAGTCAGGTCCACACCAACCATTCCCGCAGGATGCTGCTGTCAGCTAATCAGCTGCTCGTCTTTCTGGAAACATGAGAATGGGATTGATATCCATTTATGACCTCAGGCGTGGAAGTTAATCAGCGCAATTCCCAAAACGGCTGAGTATTCATCAAACACCCTGAAGATCATTTGTTTATTTGTCCAGGGTTTTACTCAACTTACATCAGACAGGATTACCGACCACTTGCTCTTCTGGTTGGAGGAACTTATGAGCCAGTGAAGTGTTTAATTAGGAACTTCTGGCAAATTTCCAGTGAAAACAAGCCTTTGTTTTACTTCTGGTCCCAAGTTTGTGTAGACAAAGTACGTAGATCAATCTCAGCTCAACTCTGTTTATCACAATCCTGTAGAGCAAACAGTTTCATCTATTGTAATTTTCCACAGATATCTTTGCTGTTTTGGACAAAAACATTGAAACATATTTGGATTCATGTGGAATAAAGGGAAGGAGGCCCCACATTGTTCCATTTTCCATAATAAATCCCTCTGGGGATTTGTTTGATCTAACACAAATGTCCATCATAACATTGTTCCAGTTTGAGCCAAGCCGACGGTATTGAACATGATATATTACCATTTTCTTGACTGACTTAAAAAAATTCAGCACAAAAAAGTGTTGAATAATGAAAGCCTTATGATGACGTTTGGGTGCAATAAATTCACTGATCTCTCTGACCACAGAAATCAGATTTTGTGAGGCAAAAACCTTTTGTTTACATGTGGACAAGCCAGACTTGTCTAATTTACGTTCTTTTTTTCTTCCATTGAGAATCGCATTGCCTCCTGAACCTGCACTGTTTCTCCGAAGCCGAGAACAAACAAGAAAACGCCCCACCTTCCTCCCAGGAGCACATTTTATGTTTTGACAGCGTCTTTGACAAAGTCTCAGGCTTTGAATAAATCAAACTTGTTTTCAAACCACGAGTCAAAACCCAGACACAGACCATTGTGTACCCACAAAGTGTTTCTCCATTTTTATCACGCATAAGGAGACAATGTGTAATACTAAAACTCCCTTTATTACATTGTTTTGATTAGGAAACATAAAAAAGACAATAATCATAATAATATATAGACTGTAAAAATAGTAAAGATATTTCAAAACCCCTCTCAGAATAACTACTTGCACAAATCTATGCATGACGTCAGTGTAAAGTGAGAGTATGCACATGCACGTAGGTTGAGTGTATCGAGCAGTTTATCTCTTAATTCTACCTGCAGGATTAAAAAAACACCCTTTTATACCCTCATGTGTTCTTCAGAATATCCGAAGGACTCCTCCTCTTTCAGATGTGTTAAAGTCCATAGTCTCTTCATTGCATCTGAAAATCGATGAAGTGTCTCTCATGTTGTGTGCCGTTGAGGTTCATGTCCTCCCTTTGAATGTGTTCATGCAGGTATAACTCCCAGAAAACTTGTGAATTTCTTCAAGTGCAACTTGTGGCATGAAACTGGAGAAAGAAAGACACACGGTCAATAAACTGATGCAAAAATAAAAATGGAAAAATGAGCAGATGAGTGGTCCTTTTTTACCTCTTGAGAAAGATAAGGGCATGCATTGTCCAGGGCAAGTAGAGAAAGGCCTTGTCAGCTCTGACTGCATCAACAGTCCTCTCAGCAACTACTTCAGGTCTGAGTGGTGGGAAGAGCTGTGGAAATCTGACGAAAAAGGAAAAACAACATGGCTTTGAAATAAAAGAATCATTCTTATTTCACATGTCATCCGTGTTTTTAGGAGTCAACTAACCTGACTCTCATTCCCTGGAACATTTCTGTATTAGTGTGAAAAGGAAGCACGGTAGTACAGCCAACACCGGGACAGTCCAGCAAGCCCAGGGTCAGGCTCTCCATGAAGGCCAGGGAGGAGGCTTTGGAGGTGCAGTAGTCTATGGCTCCTGGGATTGGAGACTGGGACAAAATGGAGTTAATGCAGACTACATGGCCGTGCTGCAGCTCCAGCATCCGAGGCAGAAATGCTTTGGTTGTCTAGAACAAGGAAGCAAAGAGAGAGAGAGAAAAATAATAATAAAGGCAGATCGAAATAGCAGAGGAGGAATTCACCAGAATAAAATGAAGAACGGGTCCACGGTGTCACCACAGATGAAATTTCCATTTTCCATTTAGCTGATAATTGCCTTTTTGCCTGCATGTGACAAAGTCTTTTGATCTCTGTTCAAAATAAAATACCATGAGTTTCAAAAGCCCTCTGATGTTCCATGAGCTGGGACGCTATTAGGAAATACCCCACTTAACCTGCCATAATAGCAGTCAGGACTGACAGGTCTGGGGTATCGTCTACATAAACTCCAATGCTACAAAACCCTGCAGAAAGAAATAGGCCTTCATCAGCAGGCAAAACAGTTGTGTTTTCACTGGTGCAATGCCTACCCAGAACTGCCCCATTGTGTTGATATGCTGGGATTTCAGAAGGGCATCGTCATCACTATCCATCAGACTTTTGCCATGAACTACAGCTGCGTTGTTCACCAATACAGAGACATCTCCAACCTGGGAATAAAAACAGCAATCACAATCAAAGAAGGAAATGCAATTTTTTAACTGAAGGATGCATCATAAACATGTGTGTCCCTTATCCCTCTATAAACACTCCAAACATTAAATAACCTATCTGCCCATCTTCTGTCAGTGCTTGCTCGTCCCTAAACAAGCCGTTTCAAAGAACCACCATTTGTGACATCACAAATGGGGGCTTTTAAAAATAAAATCTGAATGAAATCAGCTCTCATGTTAAAGGATGTCAAAGTTTCTGAGCTTATAGTAGCTGAGGGGCGGGCGTGGCCAGCTCCAGCTTGTTTTCTTAAAGTGACAGAGCCATGAAGCGACTCACTCTGGAATGTACTGAAACAGTCAAGAGTAAAAATGCTGACATTGCTTTAGGTGATTTTGTGAAAAGAACATGAACATGTTTAATATCAAGCATAAAATGATTACAACTTTTTAACAAGTCAAGGCTGTCCCCTTTAAGCGAATACTTCTGATGCATTTTACTGCAAGTGGATTGCATTTTATTTTTCAAATGAAAATGGACAAAGCTTTATAAAAATCAAGATCTCGTACCTTTTCTCTCACCACCTTTGCCTGCTTGTAAACTTCCTCCCGATTGGCCACATCACACAGGAAGTAATGGCACTCCGTTCCGGAGAGAGTTATTTCTTCAGCCGTCTCCTTCAGACACTTCTCAGTTCTGCCCCACAAGATTATCTAGTGAACAGAAAGTTTTTAAAGGTTGGAAATCAATAAAGAGCTTCTCTTGAAATGATTATTGATTAATTGTGTAACATGATGGGGATGTAGTCATGTTTGACCATCCTCAATAGATTATCGTATTTTACATAACTTTTTGGGGAAAGGGGCATGTTGGAAGGTCTTTTAGCAGCAATGCTCTTTTCATTAAGAGGACAGAGGCCAGTTTCATTCCAACAAATAGTGTTCCAGCAAGATTAAAGGCTTCAGGGGTATCTGTGTGAGTGAATTGTCTCTTCATCTGTCTGGACACTAAATGAAGGCTGGTCATTTGAGCAGGGAACATGGGGTTTGGATGGAGGTGGGGAGGTGGACTAGTGATTGGGCAATTAGATCTGTCAGTCTCTGGGGTCAGGGAAAGGTAATGAAATCAGGGAGTGAGTTCCTCAGCTCTCAAACACAAATTCTCAAAGAGATTACACGGACTGTTGGGCAGATGAGCCCTGTCATTTCTGGTCAGGGAGTCTAAAAACAGTCTGTGTGTGAAGGGCTGAAGACGCCAGTGTGGGCTTTGGCTGGTGGCCCGTGACCAAGGCTAATATATGAGCACAAAGTCCTCTGGAAAGCGATATTGTGTGTTTGAGTCAGAAACAGTTTGGGTTGGCTTGCACACACACACACACACACGCACGCACATGCACGCACACACACACACACACACACACACACACACACACACACACACACACACACACACACAGAGAGAGAAGAGAAAGCGCGTTTGTCTGTTGGTGGATGGTTCAGCCTGCCATCCCTTTTGTATCTCTCTCTGGTGTTTATGTGTAAACATCCATTTAGTCAGTTAGCAGGATTAGTTTTAGAGATCCAGTTCTTAAAAGGTGCAATTTGTATGAATGACATCCTGTGATCAAAAGTGGTTACTGCAGTCCATTTTTCTAAACAAAAGTCGCCTTCTCACTCTCGTTACATGACTTTCATGGCTGTTGCCATCTATGGATCAGCGCCAGATGATTCTAGATGCCAAGCAAAAACGAGACAGTAAGTTGATAAGTAGATAAATACATTGTCAAATCCGGTGTTAGCACTGCTGGATGTCGTACATAGGGAGCACTAACTATGCTCCCATTGCTTGGTTCTTATCTAAACCATCGACATATTAAAACATGGGCATAGCCTGCCCATTGCTCTGCCGAGGGACAGGTTGAAGCCAAAAATGGGAGGTTCCCACTAGTGTTTTTTTTTTTTGTCAGGCAATCCAAAAATATGAAAAGAGGTGGAGCTGAGGGTGAGGCTGTTATGTTTGGAACAGGGTTGGAACAAATGAAACCAAGGTAGCTGCTGGCTAACTTAGATAACCCAAGAAGCTAAGAAGGACCACAGGGAAGCCCACTTGCTCGACTGACATGGCTCCATCCTGTGTTGCCTGTGGAGATCTAATATGGACTGGGACTGTTAAATTACAAGCACAGCCAAACCACTGCAACCGAGAGCCCTGGCCTTATGGATAAGCTCATTCTCCACGGTTGGAGATCAACGGGACATTAGCTACATGCTAACCCAAAGCTAACAGAGTTTTTCTGGACATTTTTAGCAAGAAAAACGCTATAGGGCAACGTGAAGGCACCTCTGGCCTGCTTAGTAACAAAATTATAACTAGGTAAGCTGATTAACTCATTTGCTGTCTGCTGTTTCGTGACTGGTAAAGCCCTTCGCTGCCAGCGTTTCTCACCATTTTTACAGTTTTTTATAAGAGTCACAGAACGTTGCGCGCTAGGATGATGTCGACTCCAAAAGAACCAAAACAAAGCGGAGACTCACCTCTTACATCAGGGAGAATCCGCGCGTTTCGAGCATTATCTGTTCTTTCATAATCCGTTGTTGAATTGTGATCGGCAGAAGCTTTTCCGGTTCGCGCCTCACTTTTTTTTACAGCAGCGGCCCAAAACGATCACCTAACACATGGATTTTCTGCTTCCTGATCACGTGATATGTGACGTATGCGGATGAAGATCGGCTTTAGAGCTGAGATGTTTGTTCTCACGGTGCTGGGGCTCGTTCCGATGCCCACACAGTAAAAACATGCAAATGACGACTTTAGTCGTCTTTGGCAGTGAACGGTTGGATTTAAAATGAGTCGTCAATGGCAGTGAATGAGTTAAAGATATTAGGCTTTGCTGGTCCACCGCAATCAAAGATCCACGAGTCCGCTGTTGTTGAGGCACGCAGCTCATGGCTCCGTGTTGCGCTCCCAACCAGAGACAAGAGTGTCGACAAAGGCGGACTCACAAATCTTTCACCGCAGTGGACCAGCAAAGCCTGATCGCCTCTGCTACCCTTGGTCAGATACCCAGCAGCCACACTAACGCATTTTATTTCAACGCATCTTAGACCAAGTGGTGTTATGGTAATGCATAGAATTTTCCCCCATTAAGCCAGCAAACTATTAGAGAGAAAAAGGCGGTTGAGCGACTCAAAAGGGAAGCAGCATCAACTACAAGAACTGAAGTGTTTCTATGGCCTCCCTCAGAAATCCACAAGTGACCAGCATGACTACAGCCTGACATGGGAGCCGGTCCACGGGTCGGCTGCCCCGGGAAACGCAGCCAGCCGCCTGCTCTAGCAACTCTTCTCGGGCAGGAGACAGAAGACGGGCATCCGCTCAAGTTTCTTATCCACCCAGCAGCCCCACTAACATTTATGACCAAGCAGGCCGAGGCCTTTCCCCAAAGCTAGCTCTGAAGTCACGTGGCTTGGATGCTCATTAATTATTCAGAATTTTAAGCATTTAATTACACTTAAACTTAATTACACTTAAACTTAACTTAACTTAACTACACTTAAACTTAATTACACTTTTAATTACACTTAAAGGAGCCAGTTGAGGTGGTTTGGGCATCTGGTCAGGATGCCTCCTGGACGCCTCCCCGGGGAGGTGTTTCGGGCATGTCCTGCCGGCAGGAGGCCCCCGGGTCGACCCAGGACACGTTGCAGAGTTTACATCTCCAATCTGATCCGGGAACGCTTGGGGTCCTGCCGGAGGAGCTGGTGGAGAAGACCGGGGAGAGGACAGTCTGGAGCTCCCTTGTTGGGATGCTGCCCCCACGACCCGGACCCGGATAAGCGGAGGAAGACGACGACAATGAAGATTACACAAACAGAGGTTACAAAAGAATTCGCCCCCTCAGAGTTATCATGACAGTAAACCAGATCTATTAAACCTAAAATGTTTTTTGAACCAGGCTGTAAACATGTTTAATCCTGCTGTGAAATGGGTATTCTTAACATGGGAGTCTCTTCTGCGGCCAGCCCCTAGCGGATGAGGGTGGAACTGCAGTTTTAGCCACTCCTTGTTGGCTTCAAAAAATGCAGAATATAATGGCCGCTTGGTCTAAACACAGCGTTGTAAAGTAAATGCTGTAGCCATCCTCAAAGTTATGTTTGGTCATACTGGAATGTCTAAATCAAACCTAATATAATTAAAAAATAAAACAAGGATTCTCGCGGCCACATTAATTGTCGCAAAGTTTGTTTAGGACACCTCATTGTGTCGAACAGCTGTTTAATGCCAAATGTATTAAAAAGAATAAAATCACAAAGAAATTGAAGCTGTATAAATGCTCAGGGACATCATAGATTAGAGTCTGCAGTGGTTTTTATTGGCCGTCAGGTCTGATGCAATCAGCATTTACCTCCTTCTGTGAATAACTGGTTTAAGTTGCTTCTGGTTGTTTTTTTTTTTTTTGTTTGTTTGGTTTTTTTTTTTTTTTTGCTTGATCTGCAAGCCTGTTTGACAAGTCAGTGGAGGAAGACAGGTTTTGATAAATAACTCAAAGCTTTTAATGGGATTTGAGCAAGACATATAAAGCTGACAGTTCTCATTAAAACTCAGCACTTAAACCTAACCCTGTTAGAGCGTTATTTAATTCATCAGGTTTATCACCCATCACAAACACACAAGACCCTCAGAGCAAACATGCATTGGCCAAATTGCTATCTGGATGGAAAAACGGTTTCTAATTGACCTTGCACATGCCGTGCTCTCTATTGGTGATAAACCAGTAATTGCTCCAACAAGGCATGCCTAACAAGTCTTTAACATCAACAAAAGGGCCGAGAAAAAGCTGTCTAATCAACAGATTAAAGTTGTAGAGCTTGGGAGAAAACCTTGACAGAGACGGTGCTCATGTCAATCGATACGGACCTCTGTGTGCTCAGCCGCTCCAGCTGAGTTACAGTGATACTTTATCTCACAGGTCTCAACATATAGGTGGGTATAAACCCTGCTTTTCACACCCATTGTATGAGCCAGCAGAGAGACGGCACACAGAGGGGGCAGCGGGAGTTCAGGAGGCAGTCGCCTGCCGCTGTCTAATTACTGCAGAGACAGCAAGGTCAGCTGCAGGGCAATACCCAGCTGGGAGTGGTGTGCTTCCCGCCTCCAGCACAACACAAGCACACCCACACAACCTGATGTCAGTAACTCGCTTTGGTTTAACTTCCAAGCTCAGACTTATTTATGTGTTGCTGCATAAAAACACTTTATCCTCCAATGTGAGCATTTGATGCATTAAAAGAATATATATCGCATGGACGGATCAATTTTTTACTCGGACTGCCATTTTCTCTGGGTGATTACTGGTTTCCTCCCTTCAGAGTGGATTCCCTTAATGAGCCTTCCACTGGTTATCCTGGTAAACTTTTATAAGTAATAATGACTCCCTCACACCACATAAACACCAAAGAAAATAGGAATTTGGACTGCCAGCGACAGAAGTGACTCAAAGAGGTGTGAACACAGATTCACAGCGGTCAGCTGCATTCATGATTACCATCTTATTTTCTTTTAGCATCTCTTTATTATCCAGACAGCAATCGTCAGACACATTACCACAGGAGTTGTTTTCAAAGACTTCACACCTTGATAATTGCCAACAATGGGGGTGCTGAAAAGCATGGTACCCTGCTTTGTCGTGCAGCTGCAGAGTTACGCTTTAAAG